TTGCAAACACAACCTTAATAAACATTTTGTAATCAAAACAGAAAAAAAATTAAATTAGTAACATAATTACGGTGTATGCAGAATAAAATATTTTGATACTTTTTATAACTTTGGTGGGTTCTYACTATAGGTACGCGTGTGCCGTGTATACACGTAAAATGTTCAGCTATGTCCAACAACACAATAACCGGGTAACGTGAACACAAGATAACCTTACCTAATATTGACCAATCACGGCAAAGGATTTTTGCGAATGTTATGGACAGTATAAACCTATTATACCTATAACCGTATTGCTGCTACAAATTATAAACCATGGTTCAGTTCAGCATATGATGGATACCAAGGTTGTAAATTATAATATTAATATACCATTAAAAATGTCACATTTTAAATGTGTATCTATTTTTTATACAAAAAATTAAGTATGTTTAAACTTTTAAAATTAATTTATTTTTGTGTTTAACATAATAGGCAATCAAATTATCAAGATTTTCAGGGAAGAAAATGGAGTGTATCGATACGTTCCGATTCAATTTTCGAAGRTACACGTTCATTATACAAGTGATACGTACCGTACCAACCTGTATCGGGCTTAGACTTCGATACGAGCTCATACGTAATTATTCTCAGTCGATACGTTTTGGAATTCTTCTTCTTGAAAATCTTACACGTAACACAATCTCACCAGTAGACGACAACATTTCTTTTTATTACTGGCCATCGATCAATCAATTCCGAACGATGATAATAAATAATAATATTTTCGCCAGTAATGACAATTTGTCATGTAACGTAAGTGAGTATTCGATTTTAGTAATAAAAAGTGAATAATGTTTTTGATTTCATTTGAAATGAACAATAAGTCAATAAAATAGTTAACTTTGTTATATGAATTATAATCGTTAAACTATAATTTTTACATTAAACCGTAAAGTCATATATAAGTACTTCAAAGCAGGGACAGACTGGATCACTGCGCTACTGTGCAATATTGCACAGCAGACCGGCGTCAACRATAACATGTCCTTTGCAGGGCTGGAACAAAATAATCCATTTGGCATAACATAATTATTATTTTTGACAATTTTTTTAGAACATAATGTATTTATTACATACTCCTATTACGAGTAAATCGTAGTGGACCTATATTTATGTCCATGTATAAATACCGTTTAATTTCCCAGGAATTTTTCGGGAATATAATATTATGATTGTTATGTATAAACTTTAAAATATAACATTACAAMRAGTAACGAGTGCAAGCGAGTTTKAAATTTTTAATACAAAACGCGTTATTTTATTGGGAAGTCCCAAGCAATGMTTTTCAAGTAGGTATCAACAAAATTCGTTTCATATATCGGAGAATTTAACTGWAAGTATTTTATTCATTATTAGTGTACATTTACACAATTGTATAGATTGTATTTGTATARATTAAACTAAATTGGTAGGTAATTTAAAAAATGTTGTTCCGATCATTTATCATATTTGATGACAGTCTAGTAGATAGCGCTGCGGTTATCGAATTAATTTAAATATAAATAATACAGACCAATGCCGTTACCAATTAGACATTGTTGGCTTGTTAAAATGCTAAACAGTCGAAACCGACGTTTCCCAAATATTTTCCTCCGACAGACCCATTAGAGAAAAGTAAAAATGATTTCGGAATCAGGCGTGGATCCAAGGGGGGGAGCGAAAGGGGCGCCCCCCCCCAAAAAAAAAAAAAGGTTTGAATTATGAACTACAAAAGATTATTTTGTAAACTATTGTTGTTTATTTTTCTTAGTATACCTTATATTTCAAGTACTTAAAAATAATTACTTGAAAATTTTTTTTTGATTCAATTTTT